GGGTAATATAAGGTGTAATACCGGTAGTCAAGTGTACACGTTTTTAACTAGTAAATTCCCCCTCGACATTTACCTTATTATTTATATAAAAATTTATTAAATTGCATTTTCATTAATATTATTTTTAAAAGTTGAGGGAAAACAAAATTTTTGTCTAGGCAAAAATTTTCTAAATTAAATACTTTTGAGTTATTTTTCTTAAAAATTTAAAAACTATTAATTAAAAAAAATTATTTTTAAATGTTACATTTAAATTTTACATATTAAATATCTTTTTTGTTTTTAAATTTGTCAATAGGAAATTGAGAAAAAATTATTTTTTTAAGACTGCGAAAAAAATTTCAATTGTCAATAACTTGAGCTAAAAAAAGAATTTTTTTTGATCTAATAATTTTAGAAAATTTGATAGTAAAAAAAAATATTTCTGAATGTTGTATAGAATTTTTTTTGTGCGCAAATAAAAATTTGTCTTTAAATGTTTATTACATTTTATATATATTTAATTATTATTATTTTAAGATTTCTTATAGATTCCTTGAAATTGTCAAAAGATAAAAATGTGATAAAAGACACATTAGAATTGAAAGATATTATGAAAAATTTAACAGATTTGACGGGAAAAAATATTACTACTGCCATGAATATCCACTATATTTACACGACTTTAGAAATTGAAAAAGCTTTTAATCTTACATTACCATCTTGGACTAATGGTTTATTTCCAGATGGTCAAATAGTAAATGGATCTGCACTTCAGTTTAAATTTTTAAACTATAACGAAAATTTAAAAAAACAGACAGGAGGTAAGAGAATTTATGGAAAAAATTATTATTTTCAAACTTATTTTTATTTCTTTGTTTTTTTTTTTATTGATAAAAATTTTCTTTTAGGAATGCTGATTCGAAAATTTATAAATGACATGTTATTAATAAAAGCTGGTTTAACGAACAAAAACTTATTTTTATATAGTGGACATGATATTACTGTTGCTTCTGTTCTATATGCTCTTGGTGTTTACTTTCCTCATGTTCCAAAATATTCGAGTGCAGTAATTCTAGAATTGCATGAAATAGCAGGAGATTATTTTGTCAAGGTATAATTCCATTTACTATAACTGTATATTTCGCAATTTTGCATAATGTAATATTAATCGACTGGAAATTTGAGAGATATGACATATTGCTATACATATTTCAAAAACAATCTTCTCATATTCTGAACAATGTCAAATGTAGAGCCCTGAATGAGATAATAATTATAGTGTGTTTGCAATCAGAATAAATAAAGAATTATTAAAGAAAAATTTATTTTGCAATATATAAAAAAAAGAGTTGTCCTCTTTTTTAAGGATTTCAAAAAACTTATTTTAAAATTATTTTTATAACATTTAATTAATTAATTAATTTTTTAAAAAGACTGAAAAGTTTTAGTAAAAATTAATGTATAATTAAAATCATATTATTATCATTATTATATATATATGTTTAAATGCAATTGAATCATTGATTTTAATTACTAATTCAATTATTTTTAGGTTGTCTACTACTTGGGCGTGCCAGAAAAAACAATTGTATTGACAATTCCTAATTGTGAAAAATTATGTCCTTTAGATAAATTTATTAATTTAATGAAAAATATTCTCCCGTCAAAAGTTAGCTTCCTTTGTCCGAAAGTGAAAACTAGTGGCGATGATGCAATATATAATGAGAGACTTAAAAATATAATTAAACTATTGAAAATATTGTTTAAATAAAAGAAAACAATTTACTATGTTCGTAATTGTATTTTTTTTTTACAGTAAAATAGTTGATTACATTTAGTAAAATAAGTTCATTGCATTTATTTATTAATAAATTGCACTGTGTTTGAAAAAGGTAATTTTTTGAAACAAACTTATTGGCATATAATGTATTAACCTAATTTGGGTACGCTGAATTCAATGGCGTTAGCCGTTTTTTAAGATTGGGTCAAATTAAAAAAAAAAAAAATTCAAAATGGCGGACCCAATATGGCGGAAAAATTTAAAATTGATACGATTCGTTCAAAATTCGGCACTTGTTGGTTCTCGGGGTCGTTGAATCAAAATTTGAGGTCAGATTTAACAAATTCAAAATTTGGATTCATAGACCCCAAAAACCTTCGATTACTGAATTTTGAACGAATCGAATCAATTTAAAAATATTCTGCCATATTAAATCCGCCATTTTGAATTTTTCAGTTTGACCTTATGAATTAAAAAAAAAATGATCATTTTAAGTTATAATATAAAAATTACCTTAACGAACCAACAAAAAAAAATAAGATTAGCCAATGAAATAATTGTTAATAAAAAAAATGGTTGATGATTTGTTAAATAAAATCTATATTATTTTTATTATATTTTACAATATCTGATACAAAATAAACTATATTTAACGGTTGCTAACCGTAGGTTGGATATTTTTGTAAATAAAAAAAAAATTGAATTAAATACTACAAATAATTTATTCTATAAAAATTTGAATAAATGACAAGATGAAATAAATAATATTGATTACTTTACTGTGTACGTCACATAAAAATTATATAATATTCTAATTGAAAAATATAAAGGAATGATAAAATATTTGATAATGACTCAATATTATATATCTAAAGTATACTTTAAAAATAAGAAATTAAATATTAATTTAGATATGACAATAAAATTTGATATGGATAATAAATTTTCTGTTTCAATAGGTTCTCTATTGTAAAATTTAAAAACTTTTAACATAAAAGGGTCAATCCATTATATTTCGACTGAAGTCGTCGCTGACTAATTTTTAAAAATTATAATACTTTGCAGGAATGATTTTGAAGTTATCAAGATCACGAAATGAAAAGAATTTTATTAAAATTTTAATTATTTATTGCAAAATATGAATTTAAAGTTTATGAGGTGCTGAAAACTGTCAATTTTTTAGCCATTAGAAAATATGCAAAAAAAACAGAATTTACCATAAAAATAAAAAAAATTGTTGTAATTTACTAAGAATGAATAAATTTATCATTATCAATTGATGTAATTATTTAAATATGTGAAATAATACATAAAATATGATTTTCAAGTTCGCCTGTCAAATAACCTAAATTTGCAAATTTCATCTATTAAATGTGAGAAAGAGAAGTCATTAAATTGAAAAAAACTTTACCAAATATAAAGTACCTGTGACTAACTTTTAGTTTTTCTTAGCACTTTTTTCCTTTTTTCTTCATAAATGTGAAATAAAAAGCAATAAAAATTGGCACTTTGCTTATTTTCACTATTTTCAAATGTAAATAACTTTCTTGGAGAAAACTGAAAAATTACAAAACTTGGGCAATATCTAATTGATCACTAAATACACACACTGGAAAAAAATTCGCTTTGGTCCCGAAGATACTTTTTGAGATAATTAAGTTTAAACTTTTCACAATTTTTATCAGGTTAATACATGTGATTTTTATAAAATTGAAGTTAGTTCAAAATGTTTAACCAATAAAACCTAACTTCGTCCTTAAAAAACTACATGTATTAACCTGATAAAAATTATGAAAAATTTAAACATAATTATCTCAAAAAGTATCTTCGGGACCAAAGCGAATTTTTTTCCAGTGTGTGTAGTTAGTGATCAATTAGATATTGCCCATGTTTTGTAATTTTTCAGTTTTCTCCAAGAAAGTTATTTACATTTGAAAATAGTGAAAATAAGCAAAGTGCCAATTTTTATTGCTTTTTATTTCACATTTATGAAGAAAAAAGGAAAAAAGTGCTAAGAAAAACTAAAAGTTAGTCACAGGTACTTTATATTTGGTAAGGTTTTTTTCAATTTAATGACTTCTCTTTCTCACATTTAATAGATGAAATTTGCAAATTTAGGTTATTTGACAGGCGAACTTGAAAATCATATTTTATGTATTATTTCACATATTTAAATAATTACATCAATTGATAATGATAAATTTATTCATTCTTAGTAAATTACAACAATTTTTTTTATTTTTATGGTAAATTCTGTTTTTTTTGCATATTTTCTAATGGCTAAAAAATTGACAGTTTTCAGCACCTCATAAACTTTAAATTCATATTTTGCAATAAATAATTAAAATTTTAATAAAATTCTTTTCATTTCGTGATCTTGATAACTTCAAAATCATTCCTGCAAAGTATTATAATTTTTAAAAATTAGTCAGCGACGACTTCAGTCGAAATATAATGGATTGACCCAAAAATATTTTAATAAATAAATTAATTATTAAATTAATAAAAATAAAATAAACATTATTTGAACTTTGCCCATATATATTTTCAATAAATAAATAAATTATTTTCTAAAAATTTTATTTGTACTTCATACATATATTTATTATAATTTTAAAAAATTCTTTAAAATATAATAGAAATTTATTCATTGATGCTACATATTTATGTTTTACCTTGCTTTTATCATTAAAATTTTAAATAAAATTGAAGAATATGAAAAATATACAAAAATAAAATATATAAAAATATATTCTTTAAACACATTATTTTGATAATTTCTATAATACTAAAAAATGATTAATAATAATTTAAAAAATTGTAATATACTATATATATAAAAATTCATTCATTTTTGAAAAGAAAAATTTTATGAAACATAATTTTTTTTTTTTATCAGTTGAAAAGAAGAAAAGTAATTGAGAATTTTTTTTTTGAGAAAAAAAAATATTATATTTGATATAGAAATAAGAGTTAACCTATAAGAACAGCGCCGAATTTCATTTCAGGTATAATCGAAAGAAGAAAGGGAAGAATGTATCCTTCTGAAAAAGGAGAATCATAATACGTTACAAAGGAGAGCATGCAATGACGATTGGATTCCTGACCTATACCGGCCACATTAATCGATGTGGATGACAAAGGATATTTCTTTAGGGAGAAATATATTGATGCGGCAACGAGATAGCTCTTCTCTTGATTCTAGAACATTCAGTATTAAATTTTTCATCATGGAACACAAAACTCATAAAAGTTTGAAATTTTTTCTAATGTAAACAAATTGCATTTGCAAGGGAAATTGTTACAGTTAAAATTATTATTATTATTTTTTTTTTATTATTAGTGTTTAAATAAATAAAGTGAGTGAAAGTAATGGTGGTGTTTCTTTTCGCAAAAAAAGGAATTGCAATAGAAATATATTTTTAAATTAAAAATTTTTTCAATTTAATTTACAAATTTTTTAAAAATTGTAAGTTATAAATTTAAAAAAAAATTGGGTTTATAAATAATCCATAATAGAAATATTACTGAAAAAGAAAGAGATTATTTTAATTTTGACACTGCATTTCTGCATTGAAAATTATAATTCATACAAAATAAAAGAATTTTTTGTTTAATTTATAAATAAATTATGTTAAGAAATGAAAAATTATCTTCTGTATATTAGGAACGAAATTATTCTTTTTTTCAATAATTGCTTTCGAATAAAGAATAGAATTTTTTTTACTGTAAATAAATTTGTTTTCTTAAAATTTAGATACTTATGAAAAATGATGATAAAATTCATTTTTTAACAAAATTTAATTAATAAAATTAAATTTATTTTACAATTAATAATATGAAAATAATTTTTATAAGCTTTACAATTTTTTTATGCGCAGAAAAATAGCAATTATTTGCCAGTGGATGAAATTTCTAGAATATTAAAAATAGAAATATAATATAATTAATAACACTTGTATAAATATTAAAATAATATATACTACTTAGAAAAATATGAAATATTTAATATAATTATTATTATTTCTCTTATCTATTGTATATATAAGAAATCTCAAAATTTTACTTAAAAAAATTCTTATTTTCTTCACGTAAAGGTATTTTATGTTTCATTTATTTTTTTTTGTATTAATTTTAATTTCCATTTACCTATTTTTATTTTTCATTAATTAATTAATTATAATTAAAAATAAATTTGCGTTATTTAATATAATTTTTTTTTTTTTGAAAATTTATTAAATATTTTCGAAAATATATTTATGAATTTTAAAATTAATCACAAAATACTCATCAAATTTCAAACGTTATATTTTTTTTTATTTTCACAAAACATTTAATTTTGTTTTCAGTATTCCAATCAATAGAATTACGCATTGTTCTTTTGGAATTAATTCTTACAGTGAGAATAAAACGAAAATGCCTTCCAATTTTATTCTGTTCTTTCTATTCATTGGTATTGTGTTTAGTTGTTTTGTTGCAGCTGATGAAACCCTTCAATTCGTTAATGTGGTAAAAAATTATTATTTAATATAAATTCAAATTTTTCATTTACATTTTATGCTTATATATTTATCTATTATTTATTAATATCTAATTTCATATTAAATTTATTATTTTTAAAAGAGGAAAAATTTTTATTGTAAAATTAGAGTTACCAACTGAAGTCTTCTTTTTTTGTTTTAATGAAAAAAAAATTTATTTGATTAGAATAAAAATTTTCAATTAGTAAATGGTTAAAAAAATGTTTTTTTTTCGTAAAATCAATTAAAATTTTATTAAATTTAAAGAAATTTTATTATTAAAATAAAAAGTATAAAGAAATAATTTTTGAAAATTAAATAAAAAATTTTTTCTTGATAGATATTGGAATAAAAAAAAATAATTGTAAAAGCATAAAAAAATTTACATTGTTGAAATAAATTAACTAAACAAAATTTAGCTGTTCATTTTTATAAATTAAACCCCCTCGTGTAATGAAAATTTCAGGTTTTTCGTCACGGTGACAGAACACCTATTCCACCATACGAAATGTATCCAAATGACCCCTATAATAATTATACTTTCAATCCTCCCGGATATGGACAATTGACAATAGTAAGTTATTACTTTCAAATATTATTATTATTTTATGAATTTAGTTAACTGTAAATTAAATTATACATACAAATTATTATTATAAATTGTAATTTATTAAAAAATTTTATTTTTATTTTTATTTTTTGTCAAAAAGAGACATTTAATTATCGTCCTATAAAAACGGCACTGAACGTGAAAAAATGATAAAAATTTATTTTAAAACACTTTCTTCTCGAAACACGAACACTTTTTATAAAATTGTCCAAAATATCCTGGATTCTTGTTTTATAAATTTCCAAAATCCAAAATATTGTACGAATTCATGGAAAAAAGCGATTGCAAATTGAAAAATAGAAAAGTAATATAATGACAGGTTCTTTACAATCTGTCGCCGACAGATGGCAGAAGCATGCAGGAGGCACAAAGTCGCAATTGTCATTATATTACTTTCCTATTTGCAATTTTGAAATCGCATTTTTGCATGGATTTGGACAATCTTTTAGATTTAGGAAAATAAAATAAAAATCCTTGGTACGTTGGCCGATTTTATAAAAAGTATCCTTGTATCAAGACAACTTTTTAAGAATTTTTTAAGAACTTTAAACCAAAAAAATTAAATTATATTAATTTAAAAATTCATAAAAGTTCAGTTAAGTGAAAATCGTTCAATAGAAATTTTTCGATATGAAAATTAGTTTTAAATATAAAATTCACAGTTGGAAAAATATCACACTACAATTACAGCTGTGTCAAATTTTAATATTTCCAAATTAATATTTTAAAAATTAAAAATTAGCGTGAACCATAATATAGCCCTGCACAGTAAACTTGGTTATTGTATCTTTTTCTATTGCAACGTTTTGATGCACTTAAGTTATATCAAAAAGAGATCGTTTTGTGTATCATTTTTAGAAATGATACATGAAACGGTCTTATTTTTTGATGCAAAAAATTTAATCAATTTATATCAATCATGGCCGAATTGAATCGACTCAAAATTAAACGAATTTTTTTCAGATATTTTGGTAATAGTACAATTGCGCAGACCATTTCACTATTTAATTTGAAAATGAAAATAACAGAAAATCAAAGACAATGTGCAATTCGATAATTAAAAAGTGACAGCTTATAGACATAACCTAAAATGCATGAGAAAAAATTTGTCGATAAAATCAATATAGCCGAGCTTTTTAGAAGGTAGATGGCAGCACTCATCTATTTTCTTTCTTTAAATTTTTTCTGAATCGTTTTTATAAAAAGCAAAACTGCCATCTACCTTCTAAAAAGCTCGGCTATATTGATTTTATCGACAAATTTTTTCTCATGTATTTTAGGTTATGTTTATAAGCTGTCACTTTTTAATTATCGAATTGCACATTGTCTTTGATTTTTTGTTATTTTCATTTTCAAATGAAATAGTGAAATGGTCTCCGCAATTGTACTATTACCAAAATATCTGAAAAAAATTCGTTTAATTTTGAGTCGATTCAATTCGGCCATGATTGATATAAATTGATTAAATTTTTTGCATCAAAAAATGAGACCGTTTCGTGTATCATTTCTAAAAATGATACACAAAACGATCTCTTTTTGATATAACTTATGTTCATCAAAACGTTGCAAAGATTTGATGCAATTTTTGGTCTCAATTTGATAATTTTAGGAAAACTGTGCTGCGGTTGACATAAGTTTTAGAAAAAGAATATTAATTGCAATATTATTATTTTCAATAAAAGAAAATTTATAGAAAAAAATGTAATATAGAAAAAAATTTGTCAAATAAAATATGTTTTACACATTTTTAGAGTGGGGAAATTAGAGCTTCTAAATTGGGAGGAATTCTGTGCGACAAGTATTGTGAATTTTTAGGTAACGACTATGTACCTGGCTCAATTGAAGCTCGTAGTACAAATTTTAATCGAACAAAAGAATCATTAAGTTTACTTTTAAAAGCATTATATCCAGGATATGCTATTGAATCAACTTATCAGCCATTGGAAAATGACACATTACTGTTTCCCTTATTTTGCAAACTGTAAGTGTGAATGGACAAAAAAAAAAGATTTTTGTTATCTCTTTCTCTCAAAAAATATAATATTTCTATAACATTTATTTATTATTTTACTTTCTTTCTTTTATTTTTATATTTTTTGTACCTTATTATTTTTATCATATATTCGTGCAGATATAGTGAAAAGTACTCAGAGATGCAAAACCGAAAAATAGTTCAGAGAGAATTTGGAGATTTCTCTGATTTGGAAAGGAATCTTTCGATATGGACAGGAAAAGAAATTAAAACTTTACATGATGTCGCCTTAATTTGGGTAACATTGGAAACTGAAAAATTTATGGGCTTAGAATTACCAGAGTGGACCAAAAATGTTTATCCAAATGGTGATATTCTTAATGCTGTTGTTGCTTATTTTAAAATTATGAATTACGGCGCGGAACTTAAAAGACTTAATGGAGGTAAAAAAATTCTAAAAAATATCTGTTCAAAATTTAATTTCAATCAAAAGATATAACGGATTTTTTTTTCTTTTATAAAACTTTTATTTATTGAAAATATTTTCTTGAATTTTAGAAATCTAAATTCATTTTCATGAATCTAAAAATATTTTAAAATTAAAAAATCTGTTAAATTTTAAATCTTTTCATAATATTGATTTTATTAACATAAATAATGGAAATTAAATTTTTCTACATCTGCTGAATTTTAGGTATGCTTGTTCGAAAATTCACGGAAGATATGGATGCTGTAAGGAATGGTACAATGGACAAAAAAAGAAAATTAATGTTGTACAGCGCACATGACATTACTGTTGTTGCTGTTTTAAATGCATTGAATGTTTACTATCCACATGCACCTCAATTTTCTTCAGCTGTTATTGTCGAACTACATCTTATAGATAATGTTTATTACGTAAAGGTAAAACAAAGAATTTAAAAATAAAATTATTAATTATATTATTAAGTTGTAATTAAAATTATTATTAATTAATATAATTAATAATAATAATTCCTTTTCAAATAAAACAATTTTTTATATTTACAGATTTTATATTATTTGGGCGAACCAGAGAAGATGGTTGAATTACAAATTCCAAATTGTGATCTCTTATGTCCATTGGATCAATTTAAAAATTTAACAAAAGAAATTATACCATCTGATTTTGAATGGAATTGTGGAAAAATTTAAAAATCTATTTTGTACATTTTTACCATAAATAAATTATGTTAGAAAAATTATTCCCTTTTTTTTATTTATAAACTGACAACAAATATGAATCACACAGCACCCAAAATTCCCTCAAACTTGTATGAACTTTGCCACTGAAGTTTCCTAACCTCGCCATGTGAGGTTCTGTCAAGTTTCAGGGAATTTTGGATGCTGTGTGGGGATTAATTATCCATTTTTATAAATTAAATATTTATTTGTTTAAAGAAATTATTATTTGAATTATTAATTACAAATGACATTTTGTCTTTCTTTAGAATGACTTAAAAATCAATATTATGAAAAATTTAAGAAAAATATAATTGTTGACTATTTTTGAATTTTTTTTTTACTAACTTAGAAATTTTATTTTATAAAAAAATGAAAATTTTTTTACATACAATTTGCCTGTTCAAAAACGAGAATTAAAAACTGGTGCTCAATGTATATAATACAAAAATAAATTTCCTCCCCCCAAAAATTTTTTTGTTATATTCCGTAAGTTTGCGCCAAGCTTGCCATAAGATTGCCAAGCAAGCTTCTGTGCTGATTGGCAAGGTTATTTGTCAACCTTGCTCCAACCTTGCGACTAGCTTACCGTGCAAGCTTACTGAGCAATCTTGCGTTAATATTATTGTGCAATCTTGCAGTAACCTTACACTGCAATCTTTCGGTAAGCTTGTAAGCTTACCATGTAAGCTTTAATCAAGTGGGACATTTGAAGCTTGCCGCAAGGTTGCTGCAAGCTTACGTGCTATCTGGGAAAATATAAATAATGGCGCTAAATTTAAAAATGATTTTTTTTGCTTTTCTCTTTTCAAAATCCCGAAATATGAAACACACGTCATCTATTGAACAATATAAAGGTTATTTGATTCAAATGAAAATTATTTGGTTCAATTATATGTATTTATTTGATATAATAGTCATGCGTCTATAACATTTATATATTTATGTATATTCAAACCAAATAAAATTTTTTTATTAGAGCTTGCATACTCTCTAAATCTGAATTAGTAAAAATGTTTACTAATTTGAATTAGTGACTCATTTTTTGCTTCTCAATTAGTAAAATTTTACTAATTATTAGTAAAAGTTACTAATAATTAGTAAAATTTTACTAATTGAGAAGCAAAAAGTGAGTCACTAATTCAAATTAGTAAACATTTTTACTAATTCAGATTTAGAGAGTAAAATGTCAAAAAAAAGTTTAATTAAACGTCTTGCCTAATATTTTCTAATAAAATATAATAAAAGATCTAAAATACAAAAAGCAAATATTTTATTTATATTAAATTAACTTTTCTATCCGCATAACATGCGCTAAAACCTCATATTTTTGTGCGCGTAAAGTGGATATTGGAATTCGAAGTGTTATTTTGATTAATAACGCTTTCAGAGGGGAAAAAAACTCTTGCTCAAATAAAATGCGACTTTCAATTTTTTTATGCTTAGAAAAATACACAAATTATTTATTAGTGGATAAAATTTTAGAATTAATAATAGAAATATATTAAATACACCTGTATAAATAAAATAATATAGGTACTATAAAAAATTATTTTAATTACGTATTTCATGATTATTGTTAACATTTTTTTATAATATATTATTTTTATTATTATTATTATCATTATCAGGGACGGTCAAACGGACGGGCAACAGCCCGGGGCGCTCATTTCATTGGGGCGCCAAAATTTTCATGATGCAAAAATTTTTTTTACATGTTTTTAACAGCTTTTCTAACTTTTCTTCCCGATTGGCTATTTGTCATAATTCTCGTCAACTACCGCACCATGCTCTAGTGAACATTTAATAACTTTATAGAATCTACCTTTTAATTATAACAATAAAGTCACTAAATTATCACTAGAGCAAGATGCGGTAGTTGACGAGAATGATGACAAATGGCGAGTGGGAACTCATCAGAGGTGAATTAAATTTAATTACATTTTTTGCCTGAAAAATACTTAATTACATATTGTCAATTTGATAAGCCTATTTATTTTAGAATGATGCTACTACTTATTCTCAGCCTGCAATTGCATCGTTTTATCATGCAAGCAAAACTGTGTTTGTCAATAGCTTTCAGATAAGTAAAAAAACCGCTGCTAAGTTGAAGTACCTATTTACTTTTTGTGTTCATAAAAAATGAACACTTTGCTTCTCCATGGAGATTTTTTGTGATCAAATTATAGTAAATTATTTGGTATTATAATAATTTTAAGAAGGTGTTAAGTTGTATTTTTTGGGTATTTGCAGAGATAGAATTTTAACATCAATAACTTCGTAATATTTCACAATAAAAGATTCAATAATAGGTCAATTGATTCGTTTTTAAATATTCTCCAAGTTGTCCATAATACTTTTAAAGATACATAAATATTTTTTAATAAATATGGCAAAAAAAGCAGGTTTTTCAAAAATTATCAATTTCAAAATGTTAATAACTCTGGATAAAATAACAGTAGGATATTCGCTAATAGGTCAAAAGATGCGTCTTGAAAAACTCTACAAAACTAGAGATAAATATCTATTGGTGTCAATACATTTTTTTTAAGTTATGGGCAAAAAAATGTTTTTCTTTAATTATTAAAAATTCAATAACTTTGGATAGAATATCAGTAGAATGTTCACTAACATCTCAAAAGATGCGTCTTAAAAAAAACTCTACAAAATTAATGAAAAATATTCATAGGTGTCCTAACATTTTTTTAAAGTTATGGGCAAAAACAATTTTTCAAAAATTTTAAAATGAAAAAAAAATAGTTAATCTTTCTTAATATTGCTCAAAGTACTTTCATTATTTGTCCGCCAGTGAGAACTACAATTTTAAAAAAATTTATCCCTTCAGCTCTTATAGTATTCGAGATATTTAAGAAAATGTAGTGCCCCCACACACACGCGAAACGATATTTTTTAAAAAAGGGATTTTTGAATAACTGAGGTCGAAAAACATAAAAATACATAAAAAAAATCAAGTTCGAAAAATCTCGGTATTACAATACTACCTCCATGAGGAAGCAATACATACAATATTTTTTTTTTTTTTTTGTTTTTTCAGTGTACCCTAAATGTTATTATACACAATTAATTTTTTATATTATATTTAACATTAAAATAAAAGAGGAGGGGGGCGAAAAAATGTATTTTGCCCAGATAGAAAATGTACCTCGGTCCGCCCCTGATCATTACTATTATATATTTTAAATATTAAAAAATATGTAGCGCTAAAAGATATATAGTTTATTTTCAAAAATAGCAAATATATGTCTGTGACGTAATTGTAAAATAAATATTAGGAGTATTTAAATAACAGTTGTGTAAATACTTATGTAATAAAATAAGCAAAAATTAAACTATTGTTTAAATTATTTTATTATTATTATTATTATTATTATTGCTGTCAACTGTTTTATATATATAAATAAGAAGTTGCCTGCAATATTGAAAAAGAAAAGAATTTTTATTTTCTTCACATAAAGGTAAATGAATTAAAAAAAAAATTTTTCTAATATCTTTTAAATTAAAAAAAATAAAATAAAATATGTATAAGCTTTAGAATTTTTTTTTCATGTTATATTATCTTTTGGAAATTTAGTTTATTTATGAATTTCAAAATTGGTCATGAAACAATAAAACGAATATTATATACACGCTATTTATCTTATAATTGTAAAATATTAATATTTTTTAGTATGCTCAACTGCAAAACATTAGGTATGCATTGTTTAATTTTTTATTTCTTTTTACAGTGGAAACAAAATAAATATGACTTTCAATTTGACTTTGTGCTTCTTATTTATCACAATTATCTTCAATTGTTTTTCTCCAATTGATTCAACTCTTCAATTTGTTAATGTGGTAAATAAATAAATATAATCATATTTATCGATAAATTAAAAGATTTTTTTCTATTATCATTAGTTCTTTGCCTTAGGTATACTGAAAAAAAAAAATTTATTTGAATCAAAAATAATCGGTTACTTGATTATTATCAATTAAATATTTACTTGAATCAAATAATTTTCATTTGAATTAAATAAACTGTATTTGAACCAATAATTTCTGTATTTGAAAGAAATAACATTTAATTGACTCAATAATTATTTGATGCAAATAAATATTTATTTGATATAATAGTCAAATAACCGATTATTTGAATTAAATAAATTTTTTTTCAGTGTACTTAACGCTTTTTGATATTTTATTGACTCTCTTGAAAATTGAAAAAAAAAATTAATATGAAAAATTTAATTTAATTTTCAAATTTAACGCCCCTATAATAAAATTTGTTTTTCAGGTTTTACGTCACGGTGATAGAACACCTCTCCCACAATATGAAATGTATCCAAACGATCCCCATAAAAATCATACATTCGATCCTCCCGGATACGGACTATTGACACAAGTATAATAATTTTCCAACTATTTCCACAATTATATTATTAAAAAAATTTATAGACATGATCATATTTAGTTTTAACAATAAAAATTTTCATTGTCAATAAATTATTATTTTTTTAAAAGAAAATTTGTAAAAAAAAAAAATATAAAATTAAATTTGCCAATAATTTTATTTTCTATAAATATTATTTTTAGAGTGGTGAAATTAGAGCTTCTAAATTGGGAGTAAATTTATGGAAGCAATATAGTGAATTTTTAGGTAATGACTATGTACAAGGCTCAATTGAAGCTCGAAGTACAGATTCTAATCGAACAAAAGAATCTTTGAATTTACTTTTAAAAGCTCTGTATCCGAATAATATTATTGAATATACTTATCAGCCATTACTCAACGACACATTACTGTATCCCTCACTTTGCAAATTGTAAGTACTGAATAACTTTTTTTCTATTCAAAAAAAAGGGAGGGGGGCGCATGAATTTCCCATAAAAATAATTAGTTAAAATTTATTCATTTAAAAACAATTTTAATTTAACTCAATATATTAATTTAGCAGAATTTTCATTTAAGATAATTTTAAGTGATTTGAATTTTTAAATAACAGAATTTCAAATTCAACGAATTTTCATTTGGACGGATTTCCATTTTCGTAATATTAACAAATCAGAAAATAAGAAAATTGTAATTTGTTAATTTTAAAATTCGCGCCGAAATCTTTCTGTCAATTATATTTGTCGGCCATTCCCAACTTCGGGCAAATAAAAATTCGGTGAATTAGAAATTCTGGACATATTTAAAAATTCGAATCACTTAAAATTCTGTGTAATGAAAATTATGAAAATCCAATTAAATTATATAATATTCTTTTAAATAAATATTTGTATAAAGAAAAATTCTGTAAAATAAAAATTCAGTAGCAAAAAAATTCTTCTATACAAAAAAAATTCTGTGAAATGTTAATTCGAAAAATGATAATTCATCTAAAAAAAATTATTAATCTAATAATTTTAATAAAATTCTTAAAAATTAAAATTTTAATTTATTTTTATGAAAAATTTATGCGTGCAATATTTAAAAGTTATAATTTGTATATAACAATTATTTAACCAATTTTCTTGTACAAAATTAATTAAGTTAATATTAAAATGACAATTTTTTTAAAAAAATTACTTTTAGAGAAAAAAATTATTATTTCAAAAACACATTTTCTTTGCAGATATAGTGAAAAATATTATCAGGTGTTAAATATGACAGAAGTAAAGAGATACGTTGCACAATTTAATGTATTTATGCAATATCTTTCTCTTTGGACGGGGAAAAAAATTGAATCTTTACTAGATGTTGCACTAATTTCGGGAACATTAGACATAGAGAGATATATGGGCTTAGAATTACCAGAGTGGACCAAAGATGTTTATCCAGATGGTGATATGCGCATTGTAGTCAATGCTTATTATAAAATTATGAATTATGACGTGGAAATTAGAAGACGTAATGGAGGTATGTAATTTACAAAAATTCAAAAAAAAAATACCCATTTCTCAAATGCGTCTAAAAAACTTGTGCCTCTGTTCAATTACAGAAAATCCAAAAATTTTGATAAATAATTTCAAAAATAAATTTCTTAAAATTTTCATTTGACAGAATTTCATTAGCTATAGAATTTACTTTTAGACAAATTTTTATTTCTTCAAATTATTATTGAACAGAAATTTCATTTAAACGAATTTTTATATCACAGAATACTTAATGAATTTTTATTTTACATACTTTCTATTTCATCGAATTTGTAAGAATTATTATTTACTAGAGTTTTCATTAGAAAGACTAATAGTTATTTAAAAGAATTTTTATTTTAGAAAAAAATGTAATTAATTAATTAATTATAAAGAAAATTCTTGTTTAATTTTTAAAATGCCGAATTTTTATTTTACAGAACTTTTAATTTGTCCGAATAAATATCTGGCAGAATAATTTAGGCGCTAATTTTTAAATAAACGAATTATAATTTCGTTGATAATTTCAGTTTCATTTTAAAATTAAAGCTAATATTTTTCTGCCAGATATTTATACGGATAAATTGTAAAACTTGTGTAAATTAAAATTCCGCGTTTAAAATTTTTTGTAATAATGTAAATTTGAACAAATGGGAATTCGGCTAGAAAATAATTTTTTGACGTGACAACGTTTTACTCCGGGGTCTAGGGAGCCAGTCAGAAAAATTGTTGTTTATATCGCTGGCCAGAACTCAAAAACTATAACCCAAGAAGCACATAATATAACCTCAATATCAAGGTAATATTACATGTAAGATTCGTAATATAACGTTGTAATATTACAGTAATCATACAGTGATCTTAAAATGTCCGCCTCAAGGTAATATTACCGGTAATGTTACTGTAATATTACGCGCTAATATTAAGGTAATATTACAGTAATATTGCAGTAATATTATACCGTAATATTAAGGTAATATTACAAGAGAATATTACAGTAATATTATGGGAACATTTCTTTACGAAAAAAATCTACCCATCCAGGGAATCGAACCCCGAACTCAAAGCACACGAGTCCAGAGTTTTACCAACAAGCCAAATTGACTTATAATATATTTACGTTTTTTATGCTTTATGAATAACTCAAATCAGTCTGTAATATTACTGTAATATTACCGTTAATATTACAGTAATATTCCCGGTAATATTACCTTGAGGCGGACATTTTAAGATCACTGTAAGATTACTGTAATATTACAGCGTTATATTACGAATCTCACGTGTAATATTACCTTGATATTGAGGATATATTACGTGCTTCTTGGGAAGTCATATTTTCAAGATTTTTGTGTTATTCGATTACTTTCGATCTAATCTCGATGCCAAACTTATTTTTGGGAAATTAAATTTTTTATAGTTTTCTATGTTACCGACCGGTTAAAGATTTAACATGTTAGTATACAGCGCCACTGCTGACAGTATCCACTATACCTATATATGTATAATAGTCAAAATAAACATGGCTGCCGAAGCTGTCACTTTCTTTTGTTTTCGTATCGTTATTGCCAATTGCTGAAATTTTGCACCGGAATAATATCAAAACATAACTTCAATCATGGATGTATTCTGTTCAAGAATTGTTATAATTAACTGGTCCACCACAATTCTTGAACGGAGTAAATCCATAATTGAGGTTATGTTTTTGATATTATTCCGGTGCAAAATTTCAGCGATTGGTAATAATGTGGCATTACGTTTTGAATATTTTTAAAAATTGTTTGGAAATTATTGTCAATTTATTCTAATTTTATGCACTGAAAAAAATTTATTTGATTCAAATAATCGGATACTTGACCATTATGGAATACAAAAATTATTTGTTCAAGTACAATTTATTTAATTCAAATAAAAATTATTTAGTTCAAGTAAATATTTATTAAATAATAGTCAAGTAATCAAGTATTTGTATGAAATAAATTTTTTTTAGTGTGTTTATGTACAAAATAAATACTAAATAATAATCTTATAAAATATATTTTAATTAATTAACAAAGACGTTGTCACGATCAAAATTCTCCGTCCGTGTAATAAATAATGAAAGTATTTAATTCATTAATAAATGATACTAAATTTTATAACTATAGTAAATTTCATAAAAGTTTATTAAAGATTAGTATTTCTTATATGTAAATTTCGCTTTTCACACTATTCTCCACGACTTGAAAATACTTTTACAAAATTTGAAAATGCTTTTATCAAAATTTTTGATAATTATTTTCTTTCCGTGTAGTGCTTTATTTGATAAAAATTACAGAATTTATGATTTTCATCAAATCAACAAAGAAAAAAAATATTTTATTTCTTATTTTTCATAAAAATTACGAAAAACAAATGTTCTAGAAAAAAATATATTTTTGTCCATTTTCTAAAATTTTAGGCATGCTTATTCGTAAATTCACGGAAGATATGGATGCTGTAAGATATGGGACAATGGACAAAAAAAGAAAATTAATGTTATATAGTACACATGATCTTACCGTTGCTGCTGTTTTAAATGCTTTGAAGGTTTATCATTTACATGCGCCTCAATTTTCTTCGGCTGTAATTGTCGAACTACATCTTATAGATAAAGTTTATTACGTAAAGGTGAGACTCAAATTTTACATAAATCTTCATTATCTATTACCATCTATATTTAACCATGACGTCTAGAAATTAAGTATATATGTACATATATATATAGATAACCTCTAAAAGTGTGATACAGGCAATCCCCGCAACCTGCATAATTCGCAACTTGACCATTTCGTATCCTCGCAACCTGACTAAGAAAAGTGTCAGTTCTCGTACGCGAACAGTGTCCAGTGGTCAAATTTTAGTGGTATTAATTTTATAAAAATTTATTAAAACGAAAATATTTTTGAAAATTGAGTATTTTGTCAACGAAAGTAATTATTTTTAATTAATTAAAAAGATTTTATAATATTTTAAATTTTAATGAAAATATAAAAGTTCTAATTAATAATTACATAATTTTAATAAAAATAAATTATTAAATAATTATTTATTTAGTTATTGATGTTTAACAGTCAAAAAATAATTCATTCTATTTTCACTGATAGAAAATTATTTATAATAATATTAAGAATTCAAATATAAATTGAATTCATTTTTCGTCTATTTTGTTTTAATTTTTTATCAAGCTGATATAATAAATATTCATTAACATTATAATTATTAATTATATATGAATTACAATATAACTTGTATATTACAACGCAACGATATAAATTATCATATTCATAATATAATGTTGTGGAGAATATTGTTCCCTATGAACTATAGTCAAAGTATACAGTCCTGAAATCATTGGTTTTTAGTGGTGGGGAAAGTTGGTCAGGTTGCGAGTTTGAGAAAGGGGGAAAAAATTCTGGAAAATAGTCAGATTGCGGGGATTGCCTGTATCAAAATATAAATTTTTACCTTCAACATTATAATTTAATATTTTGTCTCTGAATATTATAATATCCATATAATTAAAAGCACTTTTATCCATTTTTTAGGTTTTATATTATTTAGGCGACCCAGAGAAGACGATAGAATTACAAATTCCAAATTGTAATCTCCTATGTCCATTGGATCAATTTAAAAATTTAACAAAAGAAATTATACCCTCTGATTTTGAATACAATTGTGGAAACGTGTAAAATTGTATTTTCAGAATATTTCATTATATTAGTCGATTATAAAAAAAATAGATGAAATGTAGTTTTCGATGTGACAATATAGAATTTTTTATTTGTTACAAATTTAAATCCACGATTGAATTGCAAAGAAACATTTTTTTTTCTACAAATATATATATATATATTTGTTAGCAACTTTTTTGTCAAATGTATTTGAAAAATTGTTATTTTTTTTTTAGTAAAAATAAAAATAGTTTTTAAGCTCTTTAACATTGTCATCTTTCATTTTGTTCATGAATGGTACTGAAATGGGTGTGCTTTTATACAATTTTATATCCGAGCTTTCCATCTATATATATATATATATCTACCACACACTGCGTTAGAGTTGCACTCAACGAACAGCGTTATCTCTGGATTTGTCGCTGTTGTCAAACACAAATCCAAACACCTCCATGTCGATCACAAACTAATGGATCGTAAAGAAAGATCTTGAATTTTTAACTATTCTTCCTGTTTTTAATTCTATCTCTATATATGTGTGGTATATTCCATTTTACCTCATTTTAGAGTAACATCAACAATTTAAATTAAATTTTATAGTATTATATATATATATATATATTGTTGTTTTTCTCTTATTGGGTGTTTTCGGGAGTTACTGACAGTATACTGACAGTAAAAAATTACCCAATCAGAATAAACATGCTGATGGATCAGCCAATCACAACATACTAACCAGTATACTCATAGCAACTCCTGAAAACACCCATTGATTCTTCCGTTTGCGATTACCATTCCGGTTTACGTTTCCATTGTGCTTAGGCCTTAACAAAATATTAAGCATGAAGTAGGATAAGGAGAGGTAACGCCTGTAGCCAATCGCTAGAAAACTTGACACCATATAGGGGGGACCACAGTAGTACGACTTTCTATTTTCCTACTGTTGACAGCGCTTGCGGTGGGAAATATTTGAATTATATTTTATCACGTGACCTACCGCGAAAAGAGAAACATAACCTGAATGTTTCACATGGTGTTTTTGTTGTTAAAATTCAGTCGTTTGTTTTACACATGAAGTATTTCAGTAATGTGTTAGTGTTTTGAAAAATGAAGAGTTGTTTTATAAAGCATTGCGATTCGGGTTCGAAAACCCAAATAAAAAGAGATGGTTGTGTTCGAAGTCAATGTACATTCAACACAAAACAATTTGCCAAGCGTTGTCTCATCCATTAGGCAATACAACATAATAAATTCCAGTGTCAATATTAAACTATTATTTGATTTTTAAAATATTTCTGACATTTTACAGTTAATGTATTTGCATAATACCTTCATATTCATTAACTTAACCTAACGTTGTAAACAGCTGACTTGCAGCCATGTTGCAGACGATAAATTTTAATTCTTCGCTTTCCCCAAAGGAGCGCTCGCGACATTAGGAAAAAAGAAAGCCTACTACTGTGGTCCGTCTATCTGAGGGCCAATGAATATACGCCGTTACCTCTCCTTATCCTACTTCATGATATTAAGTACAAAATAAGGCAGATTCTACAATACAAATCGTACACTTTTGGCCAGCTTACACTTTTATGTCCTTGTCTTACGCACGTGTGTAAGGCTGTATCCACAATAAGAATTTTCAGCATTGTTCGCGAAAGGTACACGTAAGTTACGTGAATGTTTTGCGGAATTGCCAACTACTGGAAAAAAAATTTCGCTTTGTTTTGAACGTGGATACATAACCTCCAAATTAATTTCGGTAACGACACCTGATTAAAGGAATGTCATTAATTTGTCATACCTTTAAAACTTTTAATTAATATAAATATGTAACAATTATAGAATTTTTAAAAAATCGAATTCTAAAAAATATTTTCTTGAAATTTGTAATAAATAAATTTTACGGTGAATCAAAAATATGTATGCGTAAATATTGAACAATAAAAGTCAACTTTCAGGTAATGAAAATATAATAATAATAATAAATTAATAATTAATAATATTAATATTTTTTATTATTATTATTATTAATATTTTTTTATAATAATAATTAATTAATAATTAAAATAATAATAATAATAATAAACGATAATATAATATTATAAAGTTGTGTTTGTTATTCGATGCCTTTACCGAAATTAATTTAAAGGTTATGTATCCACGTTCAAAACAAATCAAAGCTAAATTTTTTTTCCAGTAGTTGGCAATTCCGCAAAACATTCGCGTAACTTACGTGTACCTTTCGCGAACAACGCTGAAAATTCTTATTGTGGATACAGCCTAAAGGCCTAAGCAGAATAGCTTCGCGAAAGACGTTTGCGAACGTGAAACATAAGTTAGAAAAGGAAAGAAATATATTCGTATCCTTTTCTATCTCATGCATCTCGTTCGCAAATGACTTTCGCGAAGCTATTGTGCGTTGGCCTTTAGACAATCACAAAAAAGGCATCAATGACTAGGAGTGTACATAATACAACTTACAAGAGGACGTTTCGATTTGGCCATTGTGGAAGCAGCCTAATTAAAAAAAATAAGAATTTTTCTTTATTTTTCTATTATTAATTATAACAAACTATGTATATATAAAAAAAATGTAATAATTATAATTTTGCACTAGATTTTGTTTTTTCATCATATATGTTTTCATTCTAATTTGATGCTTTTTGTTTTGTTTTCGTATTTTTAAAATAATGGAGATGAAATGCTGACCCCTGCTCGCAGACGAAAGATCACCAACACTCCCGCTTGTTAATTTGTGCGCTCGAGAGATGAAGGGTGTGATTCAATGGGAAAGGGCCCAGGAAAGCATGCTCTTGTGAAAACAATGCTTTTGGCGATGAATCAATAACACAAAGCCTTTCACACCACCTCTCAGTGTGTATACACGTTTTAATTAGTAATCCCTAAACAACTTTCTCTCAAGATAAGATCGACGCACTTCTCCATTTTTGTTGAGAAGTCTGCATCGTTATTTTATACTCTTGTATATACGTACTATATAACTTGAAGATTTGTATTGTAGAAAAAAAAGAACTAAAATTTGCGTAACTGATTATTTTATTAATTAATGTTTAAAATCATATTTTTTCGTTGAGTTTTTTTTTTATTATTTTTTCTTCCTTTTTATAAAAGAATTGTTTTACATGATATTTTTTCCAAAATTGTTTTAAAAAAAAGTAAGAGTGTTTTGAACGATCTCTAAAATTCTTTTGCAAAAAAGGACTTTTAATTATCGTCCTATAAAAACAGCATTGAACGTGAAAATGAAAAACATTGATTTTAAAATACTTTTTTTTCGAAGCACGGACACTTTTTACAAAACTGGACAACATATCATGGATCCTTGTTTTATAAATTTCCAAAATCCAAAAGATTGTGCGAATTCATGCAAAAAAGCGATTGCAAATTGAAAAATAGGAAAGTAATGTAATGACAGTCTGTGAGAGGTTCATTACGTCCAGTTGCCGTCAGATGGCAGAAGCACGTAGGGAGCACAAAGTAGCAACTGTCATTATTTATTACTTTCCTATTTCCAATTTTACAATCGCGTTTTTTCATGAATTCGCACAATCCTTCGGAATTTTGAAATTTATAAGACAAGGATCTTTCGTATGTTGGCCGATTTTGTAAAAAATATCAGTGCTTCCAGAAAAAGTATTTTAAAATCAATGTTAATAATTTTTGTTGTGTATTTTATATTTTTGTGTATTTTTTTAATTCTCGCGCCATTTATATTACAGCGCCACCTTCACTACCTAAACTGTTTTGTATTATGTATTGTCAGTTTAGGCTAGATTAGTTTTTGAGAACGAAGAGATATTCAGTTCGGTATCATGCAGGTACTTTTACTGCCGTGTTTTCTAAAAACTTAGGTAACTGCAGAATGAAAGATTTCGAGAAAAACGCGAAAAACTGTTTAAACTTCATTGATATGTACCGCAAAGCCTAATTAAAATTTTTAAATGCCGTTTTGTTCCTTCGATTCGTCTAAATTTATTCTTTTTAATTATGTAAAAATAAATGTTGTATTTGTTTAAACATTCAATAAATTATTAAAAATGTAGTTACCGGTATGCTGATTCGAGGGTCGTCGCACGAGAAACTTAGGTAACTGGTAGTTACTTGGTCCCTCGTGCTACGAGCGCCCGTATTAGGCCTCTCGTCGCACAGAAAACTTAGGTAACTGCAGGGAATATATAAGAATTTTCATCTTTCTGGGCAAAAAATAGTAAAAATATATTAAATAATAAACTATAATTATTTAATAAGCTGCGAAAGTTGTCACTATAATTATTGTTTTTTACAAATATTTAATTTTATGGTTAAATTTATTTTAATTATACAATATTAGAGTCAAATATTGTATTAACTCAGAATATATTTAATAATAATATAAAATAAAATACATAAATAAAATAAAAATAATATAAAAATAAATTTAACAAAATAATAAATAATAAAGTGTAATTATTTAGTAAGGTGCGAAAGTTATCATTATAATTATTATTTTTTACAAATATTAAACTATATGATTGAATTTATTTTAATTATACAATATTAAAGTCAAATTATTGTAGGTAATGTAGTTCGCTGCTTTATTAACGTTTATTTAAATAATTGAAAACGATTTTAATTTTTTAAATAATTGAACTAAATTAATTATATATTAATCATGAAATAAACATATTACTGAACTTCATTTTCTTAATTTATTAATGCTTTTATGTTATTTATTAAAATTAATACTTAATTTTTCAATAATTGATAAATTATTATTTAGGTATAATTATATATATATAGTATTGGAGTTTTTTATTTCATTATTTATTGTCATTATAAATTATTAATTGCACAAAAAACATTGTAATTTTAAAGAAATGTATAAGATTTTGCAGTTACTTGGTCCTTCAAAACACGGACCTCCTTTTTCGAGGCCTCGTCGCATAGAAAACTTAGGTAACTACAGTGCTCTGATAGCACTCTGTAGTTACCTAAGTTTTCCATGCGACGAGGGCTCGAAAAATGAGGTCCGTGTTTTGAGAAACTTAGGCACTGGTGCAGTTACCTAAGTTCTTCAAATCACGACCTACAAAATACGTCACAACACCCAAAGACACCCAAGTTTTTATAGCAGTTACCTAAATTTCTCAAATTATCACTCATCAATTTTTGCAGTTACCGGTATTTTCAATTATTTATGCAAAAATTATTATTAATAATATTAACAATTTTTAAAAATAATTTGCATTAACAGGTGTATCTTTTTTCCATGATTCCAACGATATAAAAAACTCATTTTTCGATTTTTTTGCAGTTACCTAAGTTTTTAGAAAACACAGCAGTTTAGTACAATTGTCCTAAATTGATACAATTTACTCAGCATCAGTACACTTAGTACCTCTTTGATAATTTTCGTACAAATTTTTTTTTTTACTTTTTTTTAGTATATTTTTATAGATACACTGTCAAATACGGTGTCAGGCTGTAGTTTTATATATGAATTTTCCATTTTCACATAGAAAAAGAACAATTTTTATTTTCTATTTAAAAAAAGGCTGTCGCAAATTTGTCAATAATTACGCGTACATTTTCATGTTTGTTTACATTTGACAAGTTGCACCTGGCCTTAAGAGAACCCTCCACTAAAATTCTGCCGTGCAAAACTGAAAAACCATAACTTCATTTTTTAAATTGGTTATATTGACTATTACATTTTTCCTTCTGCAAGAATATAGAAATTGAAATTATGAAAAATTTGATCCATATCAGGTATAAATAATTATTTCTACCTTAACAAAACAAAATTTGATCAAAATTTTAATCTCTTTATTTCTATAAAAGTTAAAATGTAATGGTTTAGATAACCTAATTCAAATATGAAGTTACGGTCTTTCAGTTTTGCACAGCAGAATTGTCTTATGAGAGGTTTCTCTGTATTATTAGACCTAGATGTCATAGTACAACTCGACATTTCAATGTGACAACCCTGGTATCATTTCAAGAATATTTTGTTTAACTTTTAATATGTATAGACCTAAACAGATAATGAAATCTCTATTTGTAAATCTTAAGCTTTTACATGAGAGAGAAAAGGATAGAAATATCTTTTGTCCTTTTCTCTCTCATGTAAAAGCTTAAGATTTACGATTAGAGATTTCATTCTGCGTTGACCCTATAATTGACCCTCAAGTAATTTTCCTTGAAGACAACAATTTTCTTGTTCAGTGCCGTTTTTATAGGGCGATAATTAAAGATCTCTTTTTACCAAAGATTTGCAGAGACCTTTCAACACTTTTAAACTAAAATTACAATTTTGACACAAAAGATTTATTTTAATATATATATGCGAATTTAATATAGATTTATGTATAAGTAATATTTAAATTTACAATATTGAATATATTAAATATCCATTATTCGCCTTTTCACGCCTTTTTACACTTTTCAATGAAACTATATATGTATATATACATATAGAGTTGGCAATGTTAAGCATTGTTATAATTCGTGTCGAGCAATGCCACCGCAATTCACTCGGAACCATTTATTAGTTCAGAACAAGTGCTATATTGCACATGGCGACAAAATACATGGTTTAATGAATTACAATTTTGAATAAGCAAAAAAAAAAAAAAAAAAGATAATCAGTGTGCCTACTAAAAATTTAAAAAATAATCCTGGCTATTTTCCAGTTTTTCAAGCTACACATTTACATTTTTCTATATAATTATTTTTTTTAATTACTTTTGATTCCAGTGTTTGGGATAAATAAAATTGCCAATAAAATTTTATTTGATCAAAATAAAAAAGTTTATTTAAAAGAAATTTATATTTATTTAAGACAAATACATTTTTTTTTTATAGGTGTATATATAAATTTTTGTTTTATGTTAACGCTAGTTTAAATATTTTACGTATTTTCAAAAGATCTTTTGTATAAATTTCATCATCTTGTCTCATTTTGTACTCAGAACAAGACAGATTCACTTTTGGCGGAAGAACGTTTTTCATTAAACGAGTAAATTTATCTAAAGGACACATAATTTTACAATTAGGAATTTTTAATTCTACTTTTTCTCCAGGCACGCCTAAATAGTGTACAACCTAAAAATATATTTTAATTTAATAATTTAAAGTAATTGCAATAAGCTTATAAAGCTTATTTGTGAAAAATATTTCACTTTTTTGAATTCAAAAAATCAACTTCTGTTATTAATATTTAATTTTTTATTTATTTTTGTACTTTCTTTAATATTGTTTTTAAGTTAATCTATACTACTGCAAAGAAACAAATTTTCCTACAAATAAAAAATTTTTACGTAAGTGTTAACTCAAAAGAGGTGGAAAATTAAATTCTCAAACACTTTTGACTGTAGCAGGTAGGTTAACGTTCTCAATTTGCGTTTGTCAAACTCAGGTTCGATCCCTTATAACTTTCCAATTATTTATTTTCTGTATTATTGAGTAAATTCGGTTCTACTATAGTTATTAAATAAAAATAATAAAGAAAATAAAAAAATATTAATAACAAAAAAGTGTTTTCCCTTTTCTGTGAATTCAAAAGCAAATCATAGCGATATATCATCTCGAATATCAGGCCGATTAATATTACATTATGCAAAATTGCGAAATATACAGTTATAGTAAATGAAATTATACCTTCACAAAATAATTTCCTATTATTTCATGTAATTCTAGAATTACTGCACTCGAAAATTTTGGAACATGGGGAAAGTAAACTCCAAGAGCTTGTAAAACAGCCACAACAGTAATATCATGTGCACTGTATAGAAATAATTTTTTCTTCATTGTTCCATATTTTACAGATAACATGTCATCTATAAATTTTCGAATCAGGATTCCTAGAAATAAAAAACTACAATATCACCCGATTAAGAAAAAACGAAAAAAATTAATTTTTTAAACTATAAAAAAAATACCTATTTCCACAATTTTTGTAACGTGAATTGTAATTTTGTCCATAAAAGTTGTATCCCTTACCTCCTGATTGTTCTTTTAAATTCTCGTTATAATTTAATAATTTATATTGAAGTGCAGCTCCCTTTAAAATATTCCCATCTGGAAATAAATCTTCAGTCCAAGATGGTAACGTGAAATTTAAAAACTTTTCATTTTCTAAAGTTGTATAAATAAGATGTATATCGCTAAAAGTACGAATTGTTTTTCCTGTCAGAAGCGATAAATTTTTCATAAAATCATCCAATTCGATTATCTCTTTCATCACATTTGGACTTTTTGAAAGTTTTAAGTAATCTATAATAAATCTTAAAACAATGATATTTAAATGAAACTTAATTGATCAATTTTAAAAAATTTATATTTTCGCAATTTTTTTTAATAGCCCGTGCAGAAATTATTATTAATAACCCATTGTGATTTCGCATGTAAATTTTCTCCGCAGGTTCATTCGCAAAATATTTGATAAATTGAGCTAAAATTTTTTGGACTCTGGCACATGATAACGAATCCTTATACTATTTTTGAGTTTAACACAAAATTTTAGCTCAATCTATCAAGAATTATGCGAAAAAAATCTGCGGAGAATATAGTAGATTTTGCAGAATTTTTATCAAAACGATTTTTCTATATTATAGAATTTTTATATATCCAAAAATTCACTTCACAGAATTTTTATTTGTTCGAATTTTTATTTGTCAGAATTTTTATTTGCTCAAATTTTCATTTAACATAATAGGCATTTTAAAGAAGTTTTAATGGGTTGAATTTCATTGCATAGAATTTTCTTTCCGATAAATTTTCATTTGTTCGAATTATTATTTGATATAATTTCCATATAACCGATTTTTCATATACTACAGAATTTTTACGTAACCGAAAAATCATTTAACAGAATTTCTAATTGATAGAATTTTCATTTGTCCGAAATTGCAAATGGCCGAACAAACAATCGACAGAAAGATTTTGGCGCGATTTTTAAAATCAACTAATCACAATTTTATGGATAATTTTTGATTGGTTGATTTTAAAAATCGCGCCAAAATCGATTGTTGTTTCGGTCATTTGCAATTTTGGACAAATGAAAATTCTATCAATTAGAAATTCTGTAAAATGATTTTTCGGTTACGTAAAAATTTTGTAGTATATGAAAAATCGATTATATGGAAATTATATCAAATAATAATTCGAACAAATGAAAATTTATCGGAAAGAAAATTCTATGCAATGAAATTCTACCCAATAAAAATTCTGTAAAATGACTATTATGTTAAATAAAAATTCGAGAAAATAAAAACTCTGTGATGTGAATTTTGGTTATATAAAAATTCTGTAATATCGAAAACTGATTTATGAAAATTCTGCAAAATACTAATTCGAAGAAATAAAAATTCGTCTATATAACTTTTACACTTTTGGTCCAATCATTTTCTGATATTCACAAAAAACATTGCACTTTGGAAGATCTTTTCAGTCATATGTGAAAACATCCGAAATTAAGCCTACCCACATAGCACAATTTCTTGCTGTGAGGTTACTATAAGGATATCTGTAGGGTTTGTAAGGTTACCGTGTAAGCCTGCAGTAAACTTGAGGTAATCTTAAAACTTCCGCCTTACAGTAAGCTTACACAGAAAGGTCGTGGTAAGTTTACGTGGTAAGGTTGTTGTAAGCTTTCCGTAAGGTTACTGTAAGGTTGCTGTAAGGTTACTGTGAACATAAAGTAATATGAAAATATATTAAAAATAATTACATTATAATATATATTATATCATAAGTTTTTTTTTTTAAATTATATATTTGGTAAAGTACTTCATGAACCCCAATAGGGTTTGTTAAATAAAATTTACTGCGCAGCCGTATGTACCATAGAAAACTACTGCGCATAAATATTAATAAAATTTATTTATTAACAACATTCTATGTTTACAGTAACCTTACAGCAACCTTACATCAACCTTACAGTAATCTAAAAAGAAGCTTACAGCAACCTTACCGTGTAGGCTTACCACAACCTTACTGTGTAAGCTTACCTTAGCTTTACTCTGTAAGCTTACTGTAAGGCGGAAGTTTTAAGTTAACCTCAAGTTTACTGTAGGCTTACACGGTAACCTTACAAACCCTACAGATATCCTCACAGTAACCTCACAGCAAAAAGCCGTGCTATGTGGGTAGAACGAAATTTATGGCCACAAATCAAAACGTAGCCCAACCGTAGTGACTCTGTTCTATTTAACTGTGCTCTATCCAAAGATAAGATGATTTTTTTTTATAAAACAATATTAATTAAAGTTAATTAATTAAACAGAAACACGCCAAATAAGTTTTTTGTAAAATTAATAAATGTGATTTTTCACAAAAAGCCCTCCGCCGATCATTTTAATTTTTCTTGTAGAATAAATTTTGAAGGGTAGAATGACAAAAGGGGTCAAGCGCCAATTTATCGAAAATGAGGTTTTTGCATAAAAAAATCAAGAAAATTCATTTACACATTTCTGTAGAAGGATTTCCTTTTTTATTGCGTATTTAAATCAGTTTTTAATAAAAATTAAATTAATAAAATAGCCTCAAATTTACTTTATTGCAACCTGATTGAAAAACAAAAGAAAGTGGTGTTCAATTTTGATCAAAAATATTATTTTTTTAGGTTTTATTTTAATATTTTATTTTAATTTTATTTTAATTTTATTTTAATTAATAAAATTAATAATAATAATAATATATTTTCAATTTTAAACAATTTTAAAATCATTTTGTTATTAATTTTTAAATATTTTTATGATTATACTAAGTGAACAATTGAATTTAAAGATGAAAGTATTGCTCAATTCCAAAGCAAGCAATTAATTCGTAATTTTCTTAAAAACAAACAATTTTTTAAAGGAATTTTTTTTTCTATTCATTTCGTCGATTCCATAGAAAGAAACTAATTTTCCAGTTTTTCTTTAAACTGTATATTTTTTTTATAATTAATGCTTAAAGAAAATGTGCGCAGTTGATATAACCTCAAGGCACCACAGTTTTTTTTAATTTTATCGTTAATATGTAGGTTTATTTCAACAAATTGTTGTTTATTTATTAAAACATACTAATATATCGAAACGGTTTTCTCAGTTTTTTTTTAAATGACCTGCAAAATTTTTAAAAATGTTTTTTTTACTTCCTGTAAAAACAGTGAATTGGCGCTTGACCCTTTTTGTCATTCTACCCTTCAAATTTGATAACACGAAGATTTAAAATCCGCAAAAACATTTGTAGTTACTAAACTTTTCATTTAAACTTGATTCAAGCTCACCGTGATTCGACTCAAAAATAATTATGACAAATGAAATTCCATAAAATGAAAATTCTAACTAATTATTTTTAGAATATAATCATAATCATGCGTCCCATATTTACATATAAAATCATTTGAATTTCTGTGTACGGAGGGAAGAATTTTTGAGACTTACTTCTTACACATCTGTGGCAGTAGTAGTGAATCATTGAATATAGGATTAGTAATTTTTGGAATGACAAAATTAGGATACAATGCCTTTAGTACAAAATTAAGAGATTCTTTTGTTCGATTTACATCTGTACATCGAGCTTCAACACTTTCAGGTGTTGAATCTAAAAATGTCCTGTAGTTGTTTTTAAGAAACTCTCCTAATTTATAAGCTCTCCATTTGCCACTCTGGCCATAAATTTAAAAAATATATAGTTCTTAGATTTTTTTTTTTGCTATATCTAAAATAATTTTATTTAATTTTATAAAATTCTCTCACCTCAGTTAATACTGAATGATTTTGATTACCGTAAGTATAATCTTTATAAGGATCATTTGGATATTGTTCTACTGGCACAATTGGAGTTCGATCGCCGTGACGGAAAACCTACAGTAAACAGTTATTGCATTCAATTGATGCGAAAATTTTAAATACTAATTTAAAATAGAATTTTTTTAATAACACAGCTTCACAAAAAAATGTTATCTGAGCAAGAAACCAGATTATAATTTTCTTATGCATTTTCATCTGCTATGAATATAAATCTAAATAATTTAAAAATTATGATAAAATCTAAAAAATTGTTGTGAATTTTTTGAAATTAATGTAAAATAAAAATAAAATTTTCAAAAATTGTAAATCAAATTGATTTTGATCTATTTTGAGATCACTTATTACAAATCTGAAATTATTTTTCAAAAATTCAAAATTGTAGATGAGTCAACATGGCAGATGATTTTTCAAAAATTTATCAAATTTGCCTGAAAAATTTCACTCGAGCGTTTATGAAGTTGCTGATTATATAATCTTTTAGAGAAAACTGAACACTTACCACACTGACAAGTTTTAAAGTTTCTTTTTCTTCAAGAAGTGAATGAATTAAAAAACTACCTATCCAATAATAGTACTTAATCATATGAAACACCATTTTTATATGATTATTTTTATAAACTGTAATTAAAAATTAAGAGTAATTCAATGTAATTTAATCCTTCGAATCGAATCATTTATAATTATTTCAAATCTAATCTAATCAAAAAAAAATTTCGAATCAAATAGAACTGAATTTGATTCAAATTCAAATGCGCATTTCTAATCAATTTGCTAATTTAATTTTCGAAAAATATGTAGTTCTAAAAAACAAATATCATAAAACACAATTTTTTCATTTCATTTCCAACTCATGACTCGAAAAAATTTAACATTCTGTGATAATTCTTTCTTTCTAGCTATTTATTATATTACAACAAATATTCTTATTTTTAAATACACAAAAAAAAGTAATAAAGAAAACCTATTTAAATTGTAATTAGAATCGTGTAAACAATAATTACCTGTCAATTAATGGATAATAATTAACATTTTCGAGATACATCTAATCTATGCTGCTCGATCAGTTGATGTGTATCAGTAGATGAAGAAATACTAAAATGTTCAATGACACTATTTTGCGCATGCGTTGCAATAAAATTATTTACGACTTATTCAACATATATGAAATAAAAGTAAAGATTATTTTTGCTAAATTTAAGATAAACTGAAGAAAATATTATAGATTCATACACTGAAAAAAAATTTATTTATTTCATATATATGGTTGCTTTTGACAATTATCAAATAATAATAATATTCACTTGAACCAAATAATTTTTATCTGAATTGAATGAATACCATTTAATTGACTCAAATAACAATTATTTAATATATGGGTTCTACCCGTATACTTTCAATAAATAAATATATAAATAAATATTTATTTGATAAAATATAGTCAAGTAACCGATTATTTGAATTAAATAAATATTTTTTTCAGTGTAAGCAAATTAAAATAAATAGAATTTTTTATTAAACGAAAAAGCAAAATTTCTATATTTTGAATTTTCAAATGTATAAATAAATAGTTATAAAAAACACCCTATAACTTCTATATGATTTCGTACGTGGAATAAGTATATATAACTACAATACGAAAATGACAAGCAAATTTATGCAAGATAATTCTTAATCATTACAATTTAATTCAAGAGAATGATATTTTAAAATTCAATGTAAACACAGAAAAGTTAAATTAACGGACAATGTAAAAAAAAAATTATTTTTTAAAAAAGTATGAATATAGGCGATTCCACGCGTGAAATTTATGACATTTTAAATTCGGAAAATATTTTTTTTTCGTTCTTTATAGAAAGAAAGGTTTACGTATTTTTTTATAAGTGCTCAAATTTTTGAAATTATGAATTTTTAAAAATCTGTTTTTTCGAGTTTTTTAAAAATAGATCTAATTTTAATAATGGGACATTGGAAATTTTGGCATTTAAAAATTTGAATCACTTAAAATTTTGTTGAATGAGAATCATGCTAAATTAATGTTCGGCAATAGTATATATATAAACTTCTTATATATGCGTGTATAAAACATATAAAAAGGTTTCAGAAAAAATATTATTTAAAAATGTAAATAATTAAAAATAAATTATAATTTATTTGAAATTCATATCTTTAAAAGGATTTTGAGTTTGAAGGCTATGAGTTACTGATTTTAAAGATTAAAAAATTTTTTTTTAATTAAAATTTATATGAAACGTTTTATACATTCTGTATTTATGAATCTCAAAAGAATCTTGATAAGGAAATGTAAATAGTTCAAAAGTAGTCGGAAAATATATAATATATATATATGAAACCAAATAATAATGTTAAGGTATTTTTCATCAAACAATTTTTTAAAAAATGGTTTTTAAAAAAATAAAATTTTTTTCATTGAATTTCACTTTGAGCATAAAAAAAAAAAAAAAAAAATTAATAAACCAATTACTAAAAAGTTTTAATTTTTAATTTTAGTTTTAATTTGTTAATAATAAATATAATTGTTTTTTTTATTATATATTCAGAATAAATATTTTTTAAAGTTTTTTTTTTTTGAGTCTAGCTGAAAAAGGGGAAAGATTTATGGATATCGCACACAAGAATCAAGAACATCACGGAAAAAGCTTGGACTCTTTCTCTCTTCTTTTTTTTAGGAGAACTAGATTTTGTGAAAATTGAGAATTAGGAAAAGTCATTTTAAGAAATTCGTCGCATTGCACCCAAATCGTAAACACAAAAAATTCTCTTTTTCCGAAAGGAAAAGCTTACCAGCGGCAGACGAAAACCTCCTTGAACTTTTCGCAAACTGTCTGCGCGCACAGGGGTGAGACGAATATATATAGAAAATGAAAGAAAAAAAGTTCAATGCTCTGCACGTCGAGCTAGAATAAATTCTAAAACTAGTGATATGAGTTTTTGAAAAATGACGTCCTAAATGAAGGGTGACATAGGAACCATGCCGTAGGGCATTTTTGCCCACTATATGAATGAATTTCTCAATTTCAAGTACATATACATATATGAGGCATTTTACGTGTAATGTCCTAAGTTGAAAAATTGATTTCTCGAAAAAAAGTGAAACTTGGGGAAATTGTTGTCCTATCTGATTGTAAAATATCCCCCAAAAAAAATTTTGAGTTTTTTTAAATTTTGGGGGAGATAGATGGGGGTCAATTTTATCAGTTTTCCCTGACACCGCCTACTATTTGAATTTTTGCTGTCTATAAATACAATAAAAAAATTTTTGGCAGGTATATTTTTCAAAGGTTTTTTCATGCTCTTTCCAATGGTGAATTTTGGTTTTTTTTTAATTTTTGAATTTTGACCTTGATTTTCTATAATTAAACATAAATTTGCTATTTTCACTAAAATCGGTCCGTTTTTTAAAATAAATAATTGCAAACAAAAGCTGAGGTCAAAGATTTTATGTCGGCGCGCGCGGCGAGGCGGTTGACGATTGAAAATTGTTAAATCTTATCGTATGTCTGGCAGATTTTTGTTAAATGCAATTGATTTTATTATTTTTTTAACAAAAACACCGTCTAAAATCGTGAACGTTTTGATTTGTCCTTTTTGAAAGAATCAACCATATATATAAATTTTTATATATTTTTACTTATTTTTTTGTTTTTTTATTTTCTCCATTGTGTACTTTTACAAAGTTTTACAAATTTTAGAAAATTATAAAATAAAAATAAAATGTTATTATAATAGAAAAAATTTTTTTTTTTAATTTCTAAAAAATATTCCGTTTTATTTATTTTTTTAATTTAAAAAGAAATTCATCCAGACTTTTTTAGATCTTGAGATATTGTTATTTAAATATCATTATCTCAAGAAAAACTAGGATCCAAATTTGTTTTTCTACACTGAGAGAAGTTTAAGGCTGCAGTCCCATGGCAGCGTTTTGCGTTGCGTTTTGTCACTAGACCCTGAGTGTAAACATAGCAAACATATATCTGCATCTCTTTTACACTCATGGTCTAGTGACAAAACGCAACGCAAAACGCTGCCATGGGACTGCAGCCTCACGCAACATCTGCATTTTTTGAGGGACAGATATTGTACCTCAATCATGTGCAGACGCAGTACTAAAATCGAACAGCAGCAGCGCCAATTGAGTACAGATTCTGACTTAACTTGTTGGACAAACGATTTAGTACAGTATCTGTCCACCAAAAAGCGCAGCTGCGATACAATTTAGAACCGATGCTACTCGAAAGGTTAGGTACACTATCTGAACGTGTGTTTAGTACGAAGTCTGTGTTTAACTTTTCTCAGTGTATATACTTTCATTTGTTTCATAATATTGTTATAACTTAGCGCCAACAGGAAATACAAAAGAATTAGATAGAAATGGAATTGAAAAAGATTGATTAATTTATCATTTTCTATGAAAAGACAAAAATTTTCAATTCTTTATAATTTTTTTTCCTTTCTTTCCACTGAAATAATAACAGATTATTCTTAAGCAAATGCTATTAATTTTTAACATGTGAAAATACACATATGAAATAATATATACAAAAAATTATAGATAATTTTTTTGCTGCAAAATATTTATATAACATTTCTTGATTTTCATTTATATTTCGTCAATAATTATTATTTATTATTTTGGTCCATACAATCATAATATTTTACATATTTAATTTATTTTATATGTTTAGAAAGCATCATTTCATTTTCAACGTTATGTATTTATGTTATATCCACATTATTTGTCTTCTGTCTCAACTGTCAATAAGCTTGAAATTAATTGATATGTATATAACATTTGCTTCCAGAAAACTTTAGATACACAATATAAACTTGCAACTAATTTGATAACTTTGTTTTCCGATTAGGTGTATTTTAACACCAATTAACTTTCGCATTCAATAATTATATGTATTATTATGTGCAAATCACCCCCCCCCCCCTATATTATTAAAGTATTCCTTTCATCACTGAAACTGGTTATTATTATTTCAACTACAAAATTCTTCTCTACATTGAGAAAAAAATATTTTTAGTTAAACCATTTTGTCTTAATTGAAACATAGTATAAAACATTTCTGTTTGATTCAATGTTAGTTAGGTTAAGAATCATGTCAAAATCTTAAGGCCTAAGCAGAATAAAAACGTAACCAGAATCGTAATCGCAATCGCAAACGGAGGAATTAAGGCCAACCCATAATAGAAACGTAACCGGAATCGTAATCGCAAACGCAACCGGAATAATGAGTTGAAGAAGAACAAACAATATGTCTACCCTTCTCTAATTCATTCTTCCGGTTGCGTTTGCGATTACGATTCCGGTTACGTTTCTATTCTTCTCAGGCCTTTAGTAAGAGAAGAACACCAATATATGACTATCCTTCTCTAACCCATTCTTCCGTTTACGATTGCGATTGCGAATAGGCCGAAGCAGAATGAAATCTCTAATCGTAAATCTTAAGCTTTAACATGAGAGAGAAAAGGATAGAAATATCTTTTGTCCTTTTCTCTCTCATGTAAAAGTTTAAGATTTACGATTAGAGATTTCATTCTGCTCAGGCCTTTATTGACATTGACAATATATAAATATAAAATAATCAGTGCAACATCCGAATTGTACCACTTTGCAAGGAATGGTTAGCTTTTTTTGATGCATTTAAACAAATTATATTTTTTAATGAAAGTGATGGATATTTTGCATATAAACTAAAACATACGAACTGTGTTAAATTAAATAAAATAAATTAAACACAGATCTCTATATTTAAATTAAGAATTCTTTTTTCTAAGTATAAATTAGACATTATAATATCAGAAATACTGCAATATGTTGTGCTTAATTTTGTAAAATTTTATTTTAAAAAATGCCAAATGCTCACATTGACATCTCTAATTTTCAATTTAGAAATGAGGGGATTTTTACCGTGCTAAATTAGGCGGCTTACTTGTCGAGGCCTGAAGTCAAGACTGACAACACAATTGGAAACCGAAACGACACACAACAAAAGCAGACGATGAAATCATGCTTTGCAATTACGTTGGTAGCCCTAACTTCAGGACTCGGCAAGTAAGCCGCTTAATTTCAAACGGCGAAAATCC